AGACCAGTGCTGTGACGTCACAGCCGTGTTCAGCGTGGCAGGAAGGACAGTGCAGTGCTGTGACGTCACAACTGTGTTCAGCGTGGCAGGAAGGCGAGGTAAATAGGTAAGCTTTCACAGCAATGCTATATGGACTACAGGTGAGGCTTCCTTCTGAAGCAGCTAGACAGCAGTGTGTGGATGGAAAACATTTCAGTTGAAACCAAAGCATTTCAAAAGGCTGGTTTTTCCAGCCTTTGACTAAGTTCTCAGTATTAAAAAGTCTAGAGAGGGGTTGGAGAGATGGTTCCGTGGTTGAAAGAACTGCCTGCTCTTCCAGAAGTTCTGAGTTCAGTTTCCAGTACCCACGTGGTGGCTCACAACCATCTGTAATGAGATTTAATGCTGTCTTCTGGTGTGCAGATATGCATGCAGACATACATATGTAAATAAATCTTTAATTAAAAAAGTCTAGAGAGGCCAGGTGTTGGTAGCCTTAATCCCAGCACTCAGGAGGCAGAGGCAGACAGATCTCTGAGTTTGAGGCCAGCCTGGTCTACAGAGCTAGTTCTAGGACAGCCAAGGGTACACAGAGAGACCCTATCTTGAAAAAGCAAAACAAAAATCAGAGAGCAACACATTTAACAAATTCCAATTTCTTGCTTTTCTGAAAACTCGAATCTGGTCATTCCTGATCCACATTCCCAAATGATAGGTGTGTGGCTTCCCGAGTGTGTCGGTGGCAAACACAGCAGCCGTTCATGATCCCATTAGGCTGGAAACGATGGACCACCTGTCGGGCGTCCTCACGTACTCTTTAGAGTGGAGGCAGCTGTAAGGAGTCCACTTTGTATTCCATCAGGGTGGTGGTGAGAGGACAAGCAAACAGTATGTAATGTGATCCTAAAACATGGCACATACATGCAGAATCAGAAGGCGGAAGAACACCAGTGTTAGCAGGCTAATTTCATTTATGTAGATTCCAGTCTTACATGTTTACATTTAAACAATGTCTGTGCGGGTGAACCTAGTGACTCCCTGTTGGGACCTGCTGGTCTGAAGACAACTCCATGAGATCTTGCCACAGAGGCTCTTGTGGCAGTGTCTGGATGGAGGGAAGGAGGTCAGGAATCTGCATGATTAACCCTACAGCCCTGAGTGATTTGGATGGGTAGTTAGATTTCGGTAAGCTGGTTGGAAGTAAGTTTTATAAGGGAAAGGCCTTGGGCCTGATGCCAGTTTGAGAAGTTTCTGCTTTGGGCTTTGGAGGGTGGGGATTGTCATAAGATCAACAAGGTCAGCCTTAAAGTTTTAAGAAGAGCCTGACTCATTCACTCAGACTTGTCAATTATTTCTTAAACTGAAGACCTGCGCTTTCCTACAAAGTGGTTTCCGTCTGCCAATTTGAAACTATTGTCTCCCCTGAAAGCATCAATTCTAATAGCAATTCACTTGGGTCCAATTGTGTGGTTTGGAAAGAGGACAGCAGTGAGTCAAGTACTTTAAATCTGTTTTTGGCTTCCAGGGCTTGGTGACACTTTTTGTGCGTCCCAGTCTCTGTCTAAAATTAGCACCAGTGCCCTTCCAGGCCGGAGAGAGAGGAACATGGGTGGGACAGAGCTGTCTTTGAGCTCAGAAGAGAACTGCAGGATGTGCTTTAGGCTCAACAACCTCAAGCCAACTCCACCATGCCTCATTTCCAATTCCCTTCTCTTTTCCCATTCAAGGCGAGGCAAACCCTGGGCCGAGGCGCTGCACTCACTGACGGGAGTCCCAGGACTCCCTATCCAGCCTGGCCATGCCGACCTCACAGCCCTACCTTGCAGGCAGAACCCAGAAAAAAAAACTTGTAGCTTGGAGAGAATTCTAGAAAGGAGATCCCGCGGATGCAGATGACTTCCTGAATACATCAAATAAACCGCCAGATAAGAATGGAGTTTGTAGAGACACTTGTTCCCATGGCTTCTGTCTTCCAAGTTGGGCCGAGGGCGGGAAAGGCATAATTCTTGGAATCTGAATAAGGAACAGAAACTCTCAACCTCAGAAGTCTGAAAATATACTCTCACCAAGAAAAACTTCAGTGTAAAGCGATCCTCAAAGAACTGCTAGTACTTGTAGGACCATAAATTTCAGATATGCCTGAAAACTATGTAAAAAACAAAAACTTGCATTGGTCTTTGGATTTCAAAGGCTGCCTGTCAAATGGCTCTATTGCTGAGTTCTATGGCTCTGTTAACTTTCCACAAGCACAACTTCTCCCATCAGACCCGCTTAGCCATGACCTCTCAGAAACTCACGTACGGTGGCTTTGGTACGGTGGCTTTGGTGGCTCAGTTGGGTAATGGCGCTTACTGCCAAGTCTGGTAGAAAGATGGAACCAGCTCCCTCAAGTTGTTCTTGTGTGAGTGCATGTATGCACACATCTAGAGTTAAGACCCACCTAGAAAAGAAGCAAAGTTTGTGGGGTAAGTGAATATCTGACCAGATCCCTAAAATTCATAACATAGAAGTCTGCAGGTTAAGGAAAGAGAACACAGAGTTGAATTAAGAGAACTAAGCAAGTCACAGTGGCTCACTCTGGTAACCCTAACACTCAAGAGGCAGAGGCAGGAGGATTGCAAGTTTGAGGCAATCTGGGCCACATACAGAATTAAGCCTTGTCTCAGAACTGCAAACTAGGCCAGGCGTGGCAACTCAGGCCTTCAATCTCAGCTCTCAGAACACAAAACCAGGAGGATCTCCGTGAGTTTGAGGCCGGCCTGGTCTATAGTGAGCTTCAGGATACCCAGGAATGCATAGAGAGACCTTGTCTCAACAAAAATGCAAAACAGAGACTGAAGAGATGGCTCAGTAGTTAGGAGCACTTGTTGCTCTTGCAGAGGACCTGGGTTTGATTCAGAGCACCATATGGTGGCTTACAACAGTCTGAACTCCAGTCCCATGGGATCTGATGCCTTCTTTTGACTGCAGCCACCAGGCAAGCACCGACCTCTGAGGGCACTAGGCATTTATGTGGTACACAAACACATACAGACCAAAACACTTATACACATAATAAACCTAAAAGAATATTTTTCTTTTCTTTTCTTTTCTTTTTTTTTTTTTGTTCTAAGACAGTTTCTCTATGTAACCCTGGCTGTCCTAGAACTTGCTATGTAGACCAGACTGACCTCTAACTCTGAGATCCTCCTGCCTCTGCCTTTGGAATGCCAGAATTAAAGGTGTGCCCCACCATACCCAATATTTCAAGGCTTATAATGGGCTGCCCCATGTAATATAAAGACTTAATATTTTCTTGTATACATATATGTGTACTTGTATGAGCTTATGTGCTCATACATATGTGTATAGGTGACTGAAGAGGCCACAAGAGGACATAATATCCATAGAACTGAAGTTATGGGTGGTTGTGAATGTGGGTGCTGGGAACAGAACCTGTGTCCTCTGCAAGAGTAGTAAGCATTCTTAACTGTTGAGTATCTCTCCAGCCCCATGTATATATATTTTTAAAATTTTAAAAAATTTATTCTTACCTTATGTATATTGGTGTTTTGCCCACATGTATGTCTGTATGAGGGTGTCAGATCCCCTGGAACTGGAGTTACAGACGGGTGTGAGCTGCTGTGTGGGTGCTGGAGATTGAACCTGGTCCTCTTGAAGAGCAGCCGGGGTTCTTGACTGCTGAGCCATCTCCAGCACATATGTTTTTACCGGTTAGTTTGTCCACTTGGTGGTTCACCTTTATGATATTTTGTTGGTGAAGGTGTTGGAAACTTCAGAGCCAAAGTTTTGAGATGTGAAATGTAACCATTCTGGATGAACATTTTCAGCAATGTCCATCAACATTTACTGGGAAATAAAGGTACATATGGCTACCTCTAACTTCAAGAGATCTAGCGTTAATGTGGGAGAGGTTAAGGCAGCTGAGGGCGGATATGGATCACTGAGTGTCAGCTCTGTTGCTGGGCTGAGAGGAGATGACAGAGCGGCTGTGAGAACAAAAGCAGCACCATCTTAGTGTCAGAAGTGACTACCATGGGACCGGTGAGATGGAAGTCGGGAAGGACTCGTTTCCAAGTCTAGACCAGCAGGAGAGAACCAGCTCCCCCACGTCACCTTCTGACCTCCACACACACACCACAGCCCGTGTGTGTACACACAGAGAAACACACAAATGTTTTAAAAAGTATTCTCATATATTAGAAAATTAAGTGTATCTTTGTTCTTATGGTCCTTGAGTTTAAAAGGACAAAATAAAACCTTAATAGGCAATAAAAGTAATCTACCAGATTTTTTGGCTAATACGTATTTTTATGCTGATGGATGCAAATCATTTATAAATTATTAACAGAAGATAATTATCTCCTTACCTGAATCAGGCTAGTCAGGAAGACATAATTCATGAAAAACCTTTTCTGATTCTCTGCTACTCTCGGGAAAAGAAAAGTTGGCAGCCACACAGAAGTAACC